AAACCTGACGAATGTAAAAATAAGAAACAAAATGGTGTAGAGATGATACAAATGGCATAAAATGAACAAAGAAAATTATGATATATAACAATAATGAAAGAAAATTATGATAAAATATGACAAAGATTTTTATAACATCATTTCACAGTACTGTACATATAGCCTACTCAATTTACGACCAAATCGTGTTACGACCGGTCTGTCGGAACCGGACGTGGTCGTAAGTCGAGCACTAGCTGTATTTGGATAGAATGAGCTTGGTCTTTGGATTCCGTTCAACTAGGGCTTGAGTTCTACTTTGAGCTCTGTCACTTACCAGCTATTACTTAGGCTTTCTGTGCCTCAGTTTCCTCATTAATAAAGATGACAATAGCAGCTAGCTCACAGGACACCATTGTGATGCTTAAATGTGAATCTATGTAAACTATTTAGAACTGTTTTTAGAACAAGCGACAACTCAGTAATTGTTAGATTTGAGTTTTTTGAGAAAGGGTCTCACTCTGTTGCCCAGGCTGCAGTGCAATGGTGTATTTATACCTCACTGCAGCCTGGAACTCTCAGGCTCAAGCAATCATCCTGCCCTAGCATCCTGGGTAGCTGGGACCACAGGAGTGCACCAGCATGCTCCACTAATCTTTAAATGTTTTTTGGTAGAGTAGGAATCTCACTTCGTTTCCCAGGGTGGTCTCAAACTCCTGGCATCAAGGGAACCTCCCACCTCAGCCTTCCAAAGTTCTGGAATGACAGGTGTGAGCCACTGCACCCAGCCAGATGTTATAATTATTACTATTACTAGTACTTAAAAATTTTTTTTCATTAAGTAAAATGATACAATTATTCCTATTTTGCAAAAGGATTTAAAGATTAGGTCACATCTTAACATACCTGATATTGGAATGGCATTTATAATTCATAACTTTTTATACCTGTAATTGGTAGCATTTTAAAAGTATCTTATTAATATACTTTAAATTATGTTTAAATATAATATAAAATAATAGGGTATCACAACATCTGTGAGGCCTTACATTAAGTAAAATACAGTATACACAGCATGTCTAGAGCTATTTTAGGCATCTAACTCACACTTAAATTTTAGTTCTTAAAGGAACCATGGGAAAAGAGCACTGAAATAACATCTTTTTTAAACAAATTATTTCTTACTTTGATTTTTGAAAAATGTGAAGCCAAAAGAAACTCATGATTGACATAAACAGGTATGGATCATTTTAGTCAACACTTAGATTTACAGAATACATGCAAGTCAGACTTTCTAATGACTAATATTAGTATTTAAGACTGATAGATTTTCAAAAGGGCAGTTAAAGGTTATCTTTTACTATTTTTTACCTGCAAAATGCTTTTGTTTGAAAGCTGGAAGGAAAAGCTTCAATGAGGTTAAGCCCTAATATTTCCATTTAACCTCTCTCATCTTGCTCTGGCAGAGCAGGTAAACATAAAGTTTTTAAGAATGGAAGGGTCCTGAGAGATAGTACAATCTGTCTGCTACAAAACAGATATTCAGGTTATTCTGATGAATAAATGGACTGAAAGAATTGATACAGTTGGGGAGTTCAATATTTTAAAATATAACTTCTATAATCCAATATTTTCGTGATAGTAATTTTATTTGTGATTTGTTAT